AGTCAATGAACCTTTATGCCTTTCTGATACATATTGAAGTTATTATTTTACTAATTAATTTTGATACACTCAAAATATCTAATGCTAAAAGTGACTGAAACTCTAGCTATATAAGCTATGAGTTATGTCATCCAATTTCATATATTATTCTTTCTACAGAAGTGGCAAATTCTAAAACCCTAATTTATATGGCAGGGAAGGGAACTGAGTACATATTACCAGGGATCATAATAAGAATCAACTCCAGAAGAGGAAGAGTGGGGGAAAAAATTTCAGCATGTAGGGCCCAAAGTCATAAAGGTTTAGGTAATAAAAATGCAGTAAAAGAAGGTGGAGGGGACAATGTAAAGATGAAGCTGGAACAGATTAGGGCTGGGCTTATGGGAAAGAAAATCTTCAATATGGTAGCCTCCCTCCAAGTTTTTGAGATAAAGTAGTAAGTCAGAGATGTTATTATGTCCTGTGGTGTGCTGGTAAATGTTTAAGCTGGCACTTCAAGGGGAAAGGCTTTGATTTATAGTGTTTACCAAGTGGCCATGGTGTAAATACTCCTACAAGGCTGGCTTTAAGCTACACAGTGACACCACTGAATGCAGAGTCGAAAGAAATGGGGAACAGCTTGTTATGTAGTGTTTACAACGCAGAGCACACTAGATGAAAATAACCTTCAAAGTGCAGATAACAGTAAAATAATTACCTTAAAGTTCTAAGTATTTATTAGCTTCGCTTTCAATGCATCACTCAATTATAAATTGACATACTTTTGTTTTTAATTATGGCTATGTTCAACAGCAGTCCTACAAAGTTCCTAAAAATTTCATAGCTGACTCCAGGCTCTGCACTAATGTTTATCTGTATATTTGGTTCTGTGCCTGAACCACCTACCCTGAGTAGTTCCTGAGAATAGGGTTTTCAGCAGTTTGTCAAGTTATATGCTTATTCTATGACCCTCAGAAAATATGGAGACAAGATTTAAAGGAAACAGATTGCAATCTACTTCTTCAGATCTTCTACCTTGAGGATATGGCTCAAGCTATATAAAGAAAAGCTGGTTTGTCTACAAAAGTGAACGTACTGAAAAATATTTTGGTAAACTTAAGAGTGAATACTACATTAGAAATCAAGGCAATTAAGTCTGGAGCTTTGTTCACAAAGAGAAAGGAATCAATCCAACTAAGGTCTCTCTAAGGAAACCCATCAAAAGCTGAAAAAGAGCCCTCCCTGGTGGCGCAGCAGGTTAAAGCACAGCACTAAGAAGCTAAAGCCACTTCCCCATGAGTTCGATTCCCGCCTGCCCCAGAGGTGACCACATGGCGTGGCAGACCTCTCCTGACCCGCCCGCTGCTCCCCTCAGCAGTGTACTTCATAGATCTGCCTGTTCTGCTCCCCACTCTGCCTCTGGTGAAGCCTCTCACCGCCCCTGAGCCTCTGGCCTGTACCCCAGTTCTATATGTACAAATAAATCTTTAAAAAAAAAAAAGCTGAAAAAAATTCAACAGGGAATATGTTCATCACAGACTTTTAAAAGAAATTATTATTATATGGCTTATTTAATATGGGGCTATATTTTTTGGGGGGGCTATATTTTTAATTAAGCTCAGTAAAGTACTGCTCCTATTCACGGATGCATAA